TAGTCCACAACAGAATCACAATATAAATGATGAAATCAGCTCATTTCCTGTTGTGTTTTATACATGACTTTAAGATGATCTTCTGAGCTCAAGTGTGTCTTCTTCCTCCTCACAGCAGACTTTACAGCTTGATGTGGTGTATTATGAACAATGTCTTTGCTCTGTACACTTCTACAGATGATGTCGAGTCCTTGTTGAGTGTGTGTGTGTGTGTGTGTGTTTGCTGATGTGATCAATAAGGAGAGCTGATCAGGATGTGTGTGTTCATCACTGCTGTTGACATGAGCAGAAACAGCAGTCAGCATCTTCACAACACAAAGAGATGTGTGATTGTCCAACTGTGTGATGTGGACTATTGCTGTGTTTGTAGATTGTCTGGCTGTATGGTGACAGAGGAAGGCTGTGGTTTTCTGTCTTCAGCTCTGACTTCAAACCCCTCACACCTGAGAGAGCTGGATCTGAGCTACAATCATCCAGGAGATTCAGGAGTCAAGCTGCTCTCTGAACAACTGGAGGATCCAAACTACACACTGGACAAACTCAAGTATGTGGAGCAGCACTGCCTTTTTTATTGTGAATACAGATACTTTGATACTTCACTGCTCTTCTAGTGTCCAGATATGAATCAAAGCTGTTAAATATGTCAGTGCACTGGGGCAGTTCTCACATTAAGCGTGATATTATATCTCATATTAACACTGTACAGTTTCAGCATTGTAGTTGAGCAGTGAAACTTGTTCTCTACATTTCTGCTGAAGAACTGTACAGTATCAGCTCAGAGATGTGTGTGTACTGTTCTCCAAATACGTCCTGTGTATACTTTAACAGCAAGTTAAACTCTCCCTCATGAACTTCACAGACACAGAATGTCCTTTATCACACTTTAATAAGGGCGGAGTAAAACTATAAACAGGAAGAAAATAAACAATATCAATTTACATTCACAATGTGGACATAACAAAGATGTTTCTGGCAAATATCTCACATATCTTGTAATCTGGCTCTTTTCTGCTTCTAAACTAACATGAACACAAAATATCAGGCAATAAAAGTGATCAGCAGACAGTGATGCTGGTTCTGATATAGTCCAGTGACAATCACATGTTGAACAAACTCAAATAAAGCAAATGACAAAAAACTCCTAAACTAATCCTTTATAACTGAAGTATTATGAACAATAAACAGAACACAAACCCACCAAGCTTCCAAAGGGCGAGGAGGACTGCAGATTGGTCTGGATTCACTGCTCTCCAACTTAGCAATGTTTGGAGATGATGAAGAGGCATTTGACAGAAGATGAAGATCTCCATCATATTTCAAGTCATTTAACACTGAATTCTGCTTTATTATTGTGCTGCGCTTTTGTCAATTGATCATTGAATGAATCCTTCAGTCTTTATATCTGTCTGTTTCTGTGTTTCCATTCTGTTTTCTGTTTCCACATCTGATCTAAAAGCTCTGTGTGTCATTCAGAAGCTGATTTGACAGCTCCACACACACTCATGTTGTTTTACTGCAGTTATTAATGCACTGAGATCAGCCAATCACAATCCAGCATTCAGCACACACTCCACATGTCTTATTGTGTGTGTGTGTGTGTGCGTGTGTGTGTGTGTGTGTGTGTGTGTGTTATAAGCTGATGTTTGTGTACTGACTGAATGTGAATCTGTGTGTGTTTACAGTCTGGATCATGGAGGAGAGACGAGGATTACAGCAGGACCACGCAAATGTAGGACTACACACACACACACACACACACACACACATACACACTCTTACACACTCTCTCAAACACACACACACCCCTGTACATGATTACCCAATCAGACACACACACATGCTCCCTTCTGTCTCTCACTCTCACACGTACACGCTCACACACAATCAGACATACACACTCACTCTCACACACACATGCTCACACGCACACACACACACCCTTTCTCTCTCACACGCACAGGCTCACACACAATCAGACATATACACACACTCGCACACAAGCATGGCCCGCTCTCACACACAGACACACACACTCGCTCTCAAACACATACACACTTCCTCTCTCTCTCATGCTCACTCACACACAGCAGTGAACACATGCACACACACACACACACACACACACACTCCCCCTTCTCTCTCTCTCTCTCTCTCTCACACACAAACACACACAACACACATGCCCGCATGCACGCACACATACTCACACACACTCCCTCTCACATACACACACGCACACACACACACACACACATACACACACACACACAGCTGTGGTTGTAAATGTGTGTGTTCTTGTGTTCAGATGTCTGTTTCCTCACTCTGGATCCAAACACAGCAAACATTCAACTCATTCTGTCTGAGGAGAACAGAGAGGTGAAGAGTGTGAGAGAGAATCAGCCGTATCCTGATCATCCACACAGATTTGATGATTATCCTCAGGTGTTGTGCAGAGAGAGTGTGTGTGGACGCTGTTACTGGGAGATTGACTGGAGTGGAGCTGGTGGTGTGTGGATATCAGTGTCATATAAGAGCATCAGGAGGAAGGGAGCAGGTCGTGAGTGTTGGTTTGGATGTAATGCTCAGTCCTGGTGTTTGCTCTGTGATTCCTCCAGTTTCAAATTCTGGCACAATAACACACACACTGCTCTCCCAGTGAAGGCGCTCAGCAGGAGAATAGGAGTGTTTGTGGATCACAGTGCAGGAACTCTGATCTTCTACAACATCTATAGAGACACAATGAGCCTCATCCACTCAGTCCAGACCACATTCACTGAGCCGCTCTGTGCTGGGTTTAATGTTTATCCTGGATCATCAGTGAAACTGAGCTGAAGACTGACGAGAGATTTACCCAGAATCCTCTGCAGGAGCAGTCAGCAGCAGTGTGTGTGTGTGTGTGTGTGTGTGTGTGTGTGTGCGTGCGTGCGCGTGTGTGTTTGTGTGTGTGTGTGTGCGTGTGTGTGTGTCTGTATTTGTGTGTGTGCATGCATGCTTGTGTGTGAGGGAGTATTTGTGCGTGAGTGTGTGCATGTGAGAGTGTCTGTATTTGTGTGTGTGTGTGTGTGTGTGTGCGACAGACAGTGTGTGTGTGTGAGAGAAAGTCTGTCTTTGTGTGTGTGTGTGTGTGTGTGTGTGTGTGTGTGTGTGAGAGAGAGAGAGAGAGTGTGTGCGTTTGTGTGTGTGTGAGCGTGTGTGTGTGCATATGTGTGTGTGTGTGCGTGCATGTGTTCACTGCTGTGTGTGTGCATGTGTAGTGTGAGAGTGTCTATGTTTGTGTGTGTGAGAGAGAGTTTGTATTTGTGTGTGTGTGTGTGTGCACAACAGACAGTGTGTGTGTGTGTCCATGTGCATGTGTGTGTGTGTGAGAGTCTGTGTGTGTTTGTGTGTGTGTGTTTGCGTGCAAGTCTGCGTGTTTGTATTTGTGTGTGTGTCCATGTGCATGTGTTGTTGTGTGTGAGAAAGTCTGTTTGTGTGTGTGCATGTTTGCGTGTGTTCACTGTTATGTGCGTGCGTGTGCGTGTGCTTGTGTGTGTGTGTGCGTGCGTGCTTGCGTGTGTGTGTGTGTGAGAGAGAGAGTGTGTGTGTGTGTGCTTGTGTGTGTGCGTGCGTGCGTGTGTGTCTGTGTGTGTGCGTGTGTGCGCGTGTGTGTGTGTGTGTGTGTGCGCGTGTGTGTGTGTGTGTGTGTTTGAGAGAGTGCGTTTGTAGGTGTGTGTGAGAGCGAAAGCGTGTGTGTATGTGTGTGTGTGTGTGAGAGTAAGTGTGTGTGTGTGTGTGCGTGCGTGTGTGTGTGTGTGTGTGTGTATGTGTGTGTGTGTGTGTGTGTCTCAGTCTTCATCAGTGCCATCATTGATGTTGATGAAGTGTCCTCCAGGATGCTGCTGTGTTCAGATCAGCTCATTCTTGTCTACAGATTGATCTTCTTCATTGTTTCTCTGTTGTTTGAGCACAAATAATAAAAGTCAATGACAAATCCACTGCTGATATTAGAATGTGATGATGAACATGGAAATGTCTGAATCCTGTCTGAATCCTGTCTGAATCTCTGTCAAATCTTGAATCAACTGTAGAGAAATCCAGCAGCTCAATGAATAAAGGAGAAATGAAGTGTGACGTTTGTTTCTGCTCTTCTGATCTTCTTCTTCTTCATGATTTGACTTGAACTGAACAATAAAAACACATTTATTCCAGTATTTATTGATCTGTTCATGTTAGTTGATGACAGTAAAGTTGTTCTCTGTTAGTTCTTGTTGACTCTCAGTGCATTAACTGATGTTCACCCAACACGTTCTCACTCCCAACTCGTCATATACTGACGCTTGGTCAGGAACCCTCGGCGTCAGTTATTGACGCACAGGGTACCCCTTTAGCGTCATATTTAGACGTGCAGGGATTCCCTATAGAATCTGTGCCTGAGCCTGAGGCGTCATAGGGAGACGCTGGAGGCTCGTATAATTACCAATAGATGTCAACAAACTTTTAAAAACCTGATTTACGCCTATTATCACAGTTTTCTCATTTTAAAAATATGTAATTTTTATTTTGTTTATGAAAAGCGTCTGTAAACGGGGTCGAAACTACTGTATGAATAAACTTCGGCCCACGTGACATCACTTCACGGTGAGTTTAACGCCGCTCTGCTATTGGTCAAACTGCATCAGCGGTGAGCTCTCAAATGAGTTCAACTGTCAACATTAAATATTACGTTAATGCTGCATAATATATTTTTATTGGAGATTAGTTGGTGTTTATAAATATATTATCATTTACTTTATATTTAATGAGTGAAAATATATTCGGTTGTCCAGTTTAGGGTAACTATGCCTAATAAAACTTTGATTCATTCATATTATTTTTATTTTTTTTACTTTAAAAAATATTAAATTTCAAGTACTAAGTTTAAAAATGTTTTCGGCTGATATTTTTCATTTTAAATTATTTATTAAAGTTGGGGTCATTGTATGTGGCGATCTATTTTTTTACAGTCTATGCTCGCTATCCCAAGGTTCATTGCGATCCCAAGGTTCACTGCGGTTTTCCACAAGGTAAGTAAAAAGTAAACAAATAAAGACGATTTGTTGATAAAGCATGTACTGTAAACTAGCGACGTTATCTAATTACATCAAGTTCATTTATTAAAAACATATTTTTCTCACATATAACGTTGGTCATGCATTAGAACAATATATACATTTTAAGATAAGGAACAGTGTAACCAGATTGTTGTTTTCCACAATAGAATTCGTGCAAAATCTATATATAATATGCAAGATGCAACTCTAATAATACAAATGTATTCGTAATTGTTTCAATATTAAAGAACATCAAGTGTTTCCAAAGGTTTATTGTAAAAACAATTATTTTCCATGCCTTTAAAGGAAAAAGGCAGATATTTTGCCCGTCTGAACACATTTTATTCATTGTACAACACAAAACTAAACAAAAAAATAGCTTAATCTACCACACACACACACACACACACACACACACACACACACATATATATATATATATACAGGTGTACATTATAAGGTGTTCACTGTTCAGATATGAATATTTTCTCTTTGCTCTTTTCAGGTTCTTTAGATTTCTTTAAAAATCCAATTTTGTTTTCTAATAAGCAAAAAGTAAAATCACTTTACCCATGTTTATATGTTAAATTGCACTTGTCTCTCTATCTCTGTTAACACATTTATATTTGTTTGATTAATTCTTGTGTCTTTCAGCCTGTTTCTGCCTATCACCATGAGTGATTCCTCAATACTCAGATTTATCATCAAGATCTCAATTATAAGCTCAAGTTTTGATGACAACTTGGCGATCTGCAGAAAGCACCACCATGTAAGGAAGTCCAAGACCACTCTGGAATCAGTCAAGGGTTAGTGAAGTTTTTCATTCCATGTATATTAAATATCTACATTGTTTAGGCATATGTGATTGTATGAGATTAAATGCATTTATTCTTTCACTACTATTGTAATAACAGAAAGAGACGCATTAGTTTTACTATTACTATTGTTTATGACAAACATTAAAAAACTACAGCATAAGCTCACAAAATATTGTGGCCTAACTGTTTAAACCTATTTGTTCTGGGTGTTGATAGTGGCCAATAATTTTTTTCTTTTTCAGAAAGTATTTTGTTTTGTCTGATTTTATGACACCTTATAGGCCATCAATTGTCCACATTGGGGTTTAGGAAATTAGAACTGCTTATGCTGCTTGTCAACTAGTCTTAGGATAAGTTAGAAATGTTATAAATGTACATTTTTTTGTTGTTTTTATCTGGTACAGCTCATAGGAACTCCAATCTTCCCAACTTGAGAGAGAGCCTTGCTCCAGTGACTGTCAGTGTGTACTTCATTGTTTCCATTAGTCCCTGTATCTGTAGACCCAGGTGACAGTGGGCTAGAGTCAAATTTTGTTTTTATTTAAACTAAGGCATACTGATGGCCTTTTTATCTCAGATTTGGTCATGCAAGTATTAATATATCCTAAAATATTTTTATATTCTTTCCATTGGTGGAAAAGATGTTGGTATAATTATTTTTAATGGACTGCTAAGATCTCAGCAGACATTTTTCTGAGATATTCTTCAGTGGGAGTCTGTGCAATACAAGGTGGATAGTATTTGCAAGGAAAAGTCCTTCATCTGTCCTGCTTCCACACTAGATATACTGCCAATTTAAGTAGATGTGAACCATAAGCATAACCATTTCAAGAATGCACAAGGTATTTTAAACTGTATGTGTTGAAACTAAATTAACAAGAAAACAGCTCTTTGATGTTCACCTAGTAAAATTAGATTAGAAGATATAAACTGTCATGCACTTGTTCTGTACTGTTTCATTCCTTTTTCAAACACTGGCATTTTTGAAGGTTTATTTACAGCTAAGGATTAAGGATTGACAGGAAGATTTGTGGACTACATCAACTAATGACACTACCTCCAAAGAGTTTCAAAAAGCTGTCCGAAGTTTCAGCACCATCTTTAAGCCCATGATTTTAGTGTGTTTCATGCCTAAGCACATGAGTTTAATCTGAGATAGATGAGCTATATGATTATCTTAAACTGATCTACAAGTAAATGCCAAAACTTATTGGTTTACTTATTTGTTTGTTTGTTTGTTTGTTTGTTTGTTTGTATATGTTTACCAGGTGAAATGGAGTGAGGCATACAAGGATATGTCTGATTTTACTCTTGGGAAGGAGGTTGAACAGTGCAATATTTCTTCTATAGGATTGCAGTGACCAGACATGCTACTGTAACTCTCATGGTCATGTGCTGGAATTAGCAGATGTTCAACAATTTGGCCATCTCACTGACCTATTGATATCAGAAGGTAACGATATGCAGTAGAATTTGTTTTAGATGTTCAGTAACCTATTTGAATAGTATTGTGATTTTTTGATTGCTTATCACTGTAGACCGCAACAGCTCTGCAAAGCAAGTTGCAAAACAGAATCCATGGAACTGGCAGTGACTGGAAACCAATTGGAAGACTTTGGTCTGTGATGTAGAGGAGTGGGCAGAGGGTGAGGAAATTCTTATTAATATTACATGTAGTCATGAAAAATTGTAAGTGTTACTATTATTGTCATTTTTTCAGTAGCAGAAGCAAAGACAACAAAAAACAGAAGTGATATGGATGTCTTCGTCATATGGCATGGTATGTACACTAGACTTCTGTCAGTGTTGATTCTTTAAAAGTTGACGTATAATCCTTGTTATACAACTTTCTTTTTATGAATATATTTCAGACTCTGCTGACCCAGCAACAAAGAGGAGGGTGTTCAACATCATCCTGCTAGTCAGGATTCTTCAGGAGAAGCAGTGGATTCTTGTGGCAGAGATGGCCAACCACTATAAATACCTTTCAACTCATCCTGGTTCTTTCAAAGAACTTTCCTGCTTGTTTGCTACTGAAATGTACTTGTATGTATTTGTATTATTTGGCTCAAACTTAAGCATAAGGTTACACAGTCCAAAGGATATTAATATATTTTTATGTTGTTGTGTTCTTCTTTTAAGATTCGACATGTGGCCTAAACGAAGAGGGGTCTATGGATCATTATTCTCAAAAAGCAACAAAATAACTGAGAAATAAACAACAATACGATGGTGCAATCTAGAGACCTGCAAGGTACCTGCAAGTTTTGGCTGGAGCAGAAAACATACATTTTTTAAATAAAGCTCCAGCTGATGAGTTTGACATTGACTGTGGATTTTCTTTTATTGTAATCCAGAAGAGGATGACCTTAACCCTGAATCTAAAGCATGTAATAAAATCTGTAAAAATAAAATAAAATTTTCATCATCTATAACCAAATTGTTGTCTCTTTTTTTTTAAATACATAAATATGTACAGTATGTAAGCATTCCTCTAAAATCAATCAGTGTTGTAAATTAAGAGCATTATTGTATGCCTAACTGCTTACAACATATAATGATTTAAGAAACTCTATATTAAAATTAAATTATTACATTAAATGACATTAAGAGCTTTTAAAATATTAATTTTATGATAAATTTTTATGATAAATTTAATTTTTGCATATACTTGGCCAAAAAATGTACATTATTATGGTCAACTGCTCAGATACCTCCAGTCAATATGTGGCTGAGTCAGGCAACCAGACTTCTACCTCTGGAAAAATTAACCCATGATTTACATCAAAGATCGGATGGATCCATTTGGTCCTCATGGATTTTTCTTAAAAAAAAAATAATAATAATCTCCTTTTATTTTTGTCCTTACTTTGAAACATTTGTATTCATTTGTTAGAATGTCTAACAAAAAACTGCTGCACTTGTTGTGAGATAACAGTGCCACTGTTGTTATTCTGAAAAAAATTAACTTTGTATAATGTTTTATTGAATGCAAGATAAAAATAAAATATTTTCCAAGAGATGGATTGCGGCTGGAAGAGCATCTGCTGCATAAAGACATGCTGGAAAAGTTGGCGGTTCATAGCGCTGTGGCAACCCCTGGTTAATAAAGGGACTAAGCCAAAAAGAAAATGAATGAATGAAAATAAAATATGTATTTTTGGTAGACATAGAACTACACAGTAACTTATAAATACAGCACAGAACTATTTTACTTCTAGTTTAGATAATTTAAAGGTTTGCATTTTTATTTTGTTGGTTAATGGCTATGTACTTTTAATCATTTGGAGGATTGAACTATTCGCAGCATTTGAAAGGATATCTTTTCGTCATTGTTACGTCATTTCTCAATATTTTCATGATTCTTACAATGCAGCAAATCTTACAATCATTTGATCATAAAGAAAATAATTAACAAATTAACCCACATGCAGGACAAAGACATTATGTGGAATCATTATTAAACACAAAGTTCATCCATTGTCATCAAAACATACTGTTACACAAACAGTTGAAGATTTAGAAAGTAAAAATAATCAAATAAAGAGTGGTTTTTAAACAAATACATGTCTTTAAAAAGGTTTTATTTATAAACATTTACATATTTTAAAAGAGCTTTTATCCATATTTCAAATAAAGTGAAAACAATTAAATATCACTTGATGACCATTAATGAAACACTTACAGAATTACATCTACACATATTATTCTGAACTCATAATATTTGTGATGAACATAGATCACTATTGCTAATAACTTGTGATTAAAGAGGATACTAATGTTTAGCTTATTTTTACAGCTTTTTTTTTTTTTTTTTTTTTTTTTACCACAACTGTACATGTGACAATTTCTTGTCCATGTTGAAGATAATACATCTACATAGGTTAACTGCCCTTTTACTCAAAGGGGATGAGTAGAGTCCCGTAGAAAAGGAAAAAGTATTCACATTTCAAACGAGAAATGAGTGAGAGAATATCAGCAAGACTATTACCTATGCTATGTTCAATAAATAATGTTGGATATAATAGTCTGGTATATACTGATCAAGTCAATAAAAGCTGTTTAAAAAAATACTCATTGTAAAATAACAAATTTATGCCTGGCTTTCATATATGTCATAAATATATGCACAATGACCTTATTCAGAAAGTCTTTAGTTCATTAAAAATTGTATTTTTTTCCATTTTATTACAAAAAGGCTTTAAACTACATTACCCACAATCCTTTGTCGCTGTATAGATGGGAGGGGAAAGACATGGCGCTACAAATTGTAGTTCATTAAAAGGTGTAGTTAGGGTTAAGTTTAGGGTTACGATCTTGGTTAATCGGTAACTATTTGAAACACAGCGATAACTCATTGATAAAGGACACTGTTAGTAAAGTGGCAAAGTTAGCAAAACATAGTTAGCAACACGAAGGATCTTTTAATTTGGCTTTGAAGTTATAGTCCAATCACAACGTCGCAATCTACGTCACACTTTGTCTCTATTTGGTAATCTTCCGGCTCAAAATAGATTATAATAACCTTATAATATAACTTAAATATCAAAATGTGTATTAATATTACATGTTATTTATTGTCTTATTAAAAATACAAATGTATATTTACCGTGAGATTCCTTTGTGGGGGTAACCTGATGTGCAAAATGATCATAGTAAAACCAGATCATGGGCAGTATACTAAATTTAAAAACGAATAATAAAATAATAAAAAAGCTTCATGTTTGAAAACATTTCCAGCATTTCCTGTAACTAAACCCTGCATCATGTAGGTATACAAATATGTCAAACTTAAATGACAAATATAGTGCCCATTAAATAGTAAAAATAGTAGTTCATTGTAAATGAGTATGCAAATAAACACAATACATTTTTAATGAAACATTTATAATTTATTTATAATGCCACAAATAAAAATAAATAATAAAAATCACGCAAAAATGCAAAAACCAAAAATATATATTTTATAACAGTTTTTAATACAATAATATATTACCATACATATATAAATGGTTAAAAACTATTATAATTGAAGGAAATGTATATTTTGTATTATTATTATTATTAAATTTTTTTGTGATATTTATTCATGTCATACATCTGGTATGTCAAGCCCAAGTAAAACTGCACTGCAAAAAATCTTTTCAAATGATGCCTTTGGAAATGCCCTTATAATAAACAGCTTTCACAACAACAAGAAGTCAATTTCATGACAAATGCAAATTGTGTTTATAAAAACAACTTTCTGAACTTAAACATCAAAAGTCGAATAAGTTCAAAGCATATTAAAGTATTTACTGAAGAATAGCAAAAACAATTTACAAAACTCTGAGAACCAAAGTGTGCTTGGTGAGTCCAGGTGTTTATGCTGACTAGACTGTCATATTGCAATCCGGTTAGCATGAGGAGACTTGGGCGTAAAGTGTCAGGAATTCCTGGAGGGCTCCCATGTGTTATTCCAGGTTTTGCCACTGTAAAGTATTAGAAGTGCACAATATCATTACTGAACAAAGAATGAGTGTTAGGTTTCATTTAGAAAGTTCAGTGATATTTATTTATATATGTAAAGTGTCATTAAACCTGGCACTCTTGAATTAACTGTATAATAGGTTAAACATTTCCAGCATGTTTCCATGTATTCCAAGCAGATCTGTCAGTTCTACACTCAGAGATCAGGATAGTGACTGCACTTCTCATTATGAACACCCTTATCCTTCTCAAACATTTTTATCACCACTGATGTCCACTGCTGTAGTTTTCATTGAAGGGAATGCTGACACAAATTCCAGCATGTCTTTTTTTTAAATAGCAGAATATGGGTATTATTGGGCCAAAACCTTAAAAAATATAAGATGCAAGATTTGAATCTTGATGAACATATTGTTAATTCACTTCTTGCAATTTAAAACACACATCTCATGTTTGACTCATCAATTATATGAAAACTACAACAGCATACTGTGCTCCACCCTAAAAATATTTCTAAATTATAACAAGCTTATTGCTTTACATGGCTAAACATTTATTTTATGCCTGCATGATTCACTGCTATTACTGTAAACCATTACACTCCTAACCCAAACTAGTTGACTTTATTCTAATAAAGTCAACTAGTTTGGGTTAAGAGTGTAAACTGCATAGAAACCTGTTGCCTTAAACCCTTTATGTTTTTACACAAGATGAAACTAAACAGCCCACTTTAAATTAACCTAGAACCTTTACAATCTTCTTGAACTTACAGTAATATTTTAATTCAAGTATGGCTGTTAAGTTGTACCTTGTATAAAATGTAAGGGGTTTAAGGCACTGGGTTTCTATACAATTTTCTAGTAAAGTCAACTAGATTGGGTTAAAGGAATAGTTCATTATTTACTCTCTTTTAAGTGGTTGTAAACCTTTTTTAAAAACTTCCAAGTTACTTTGTGTTGAACATGAAATAAGTTTTTTGAAGAAAGCTGTAAAGCTGAAAACATTGACATACATAGTAGGAAAAAACAAATACTATGGAAGTCAGTGTTTGCAGGTTTTCATCTTTCTTTAAAATATATTTTTTTGTGTTTAACTGAAGAAAGCAAGTCAGACATATTTAGAACAAGTGAAGTATGAGTCATTAATGACAGAATTTTCCTTTTTGGGTGAATCTCTTTAAGAGTATACTGAAAGAAATGTCCTACTCAATGAAGCTAACTTCAGCTGCATGTGTAGCCCCATAAGTACTTATCTAGAAATCAAAACAATGATCACGTCTGTCCCATTTTAGGCCCTTTATATCATATTGGCCACAGAATAGACTACTTAGTGTTGCAATAAAATAAAAAAATTAATAAAACTATGACTTACCACACAATACAAGACAAACAGTGAATTTTCAGCTCTGCCTTTGCTGTACACAAGATGAGGTTCCAGCTTCAACACTGATCTGAGTGGGGCAGTTGTGCAGCTCTGTGAGGTTGTGACTGTTCAGATGCAGTGCTGTGAAGAGTTCTTTATTAAAAGAAAGTACATTCTTTTAAAAGCTGTACATAATAACAAAGAAAATACAATGATTTTAAATAATGATTAATTCTGAACAAAAACCTTACCCTTAGTCAAGATGAATTCATATGTCAAAAGTTTCTGCATCTGAAATGAATAAAAACAGATGTGACATTAGTTAAACCCACTAAACTACTAGATACATCAGTACTGCATTAAGCAGTTGTAAAGTAATG